GTAAAAAGAATTTTAGAGTGAAGTAATCATTTTCAGCACACCTTAGTAGGAAGCATAAATGTGATTTTGAGAAATCTGTGTAGATAATAACGTTACTGCGCTTTCTGCTGCTGTGCCAGATGTGAATAACGTTACTGATGCAGCTGTCCTGTTGTTGATGGCCCACTTAAAAGAATGATTGCTATAACTGACACTTAGAAAAACTGTGTGGTTTGTGCGTAGGTCACAACAACTCTGGCAGATGCAAAGACCAGGCTTGACTTCTTCTACTCCAAGGCTGATCATGCTTGGTAAGAACTTTTAGTACATGATTTAGTGATGTTAAAGGGATGATTTTTTAAAAGAAACATTTTGTCACACTTTATTCATGGTTCTCTATGTCTAACTTTCTACCTAACATCTCCTCAAATAAGTTTCGAAAAACAGGGGTAAGTAAATGATGATAGAATTGTAATTTTTGGGTGAACTATCTCTTTGAACTAATCAGAAAGGCTCCAACATCGACATATTTTTACTGACACCAAAATCAAATGTGAAATGTTTTTCAAAGCTATAAATAACAATAAAAAAAAAAACATGAACACGATAAATTATTATTATTATTTTTTTTAGGAGATTAAATTCTACACAGCAAAAAATGGATGCTGGCGATCGAAGGCAAAGTCTTCTTTCCTGTGATTGACCTACCAGATATGTCCTCTGCATTTGCTGTTCTCTTCGGTTGCTATTATGTGCATAACATCATGTACCAAGTGGAAGCAGCCACTACTTTGGAGTTTATTCAGATGTAAGTACATCTTGCAGTATGCTGTAATGTTAAGTAAACATTAAAGGGAAAAGAAGAATGAAAGCCATATACATCAGGGATGGTATGAGGGTGAGTAAGTGATGAGAGAATTTGCATTTTTGAGTGAACAATCCCTTAAATGGGATAGTCCACCCAAAAATGAAAACTGTCATAATTTACTCACCCTCATGTCATTCCAAACCTGTATGCACTTCTTTCTTCTGTTTAACACAAAATAAGATATTTTGAAGAATGCTGGTGACCAAACAGTTTCGGTTCCCATTGACTTTCATTGTATTTTTTGTCCATATAATGGAAGTCAACAGGAACTGAAACACCAACACTGGTCAACAACATTCTACAAAATATCTTCTTTTGTGTTCCACAGAAGAAGGAAGCGCATGCAGGTTTGGAACGACATGAGGGTGAATAAAGGATGACAGAATTTTCATTTTTCAGTGAACTATCCCTTTTTAAGGGATTATTCACTCAAAAATGCTAATTCTCTCATCACTTACTCACCCTCATGCCATCCCTGATGTATATGGCTTTCATTATTCTGTGGAACACAAACAGAGATTTAAAATAAAAAAAAATAAAAAATCCATCTCTGTAAGTCCATGTAATGCAAGTGGATATGTCCCTCAAAGTTGACACTTCAAAAACCACACAAAGAAAGCACAACACTAATCTATGTGACCCCAGTGGATGAATCAATGTCTTCTGAAGCAAAACTATAGATATGTGTGAGAAAAATACTATAAACCATTGCTTCCGGCCAACTTGTCAAACTTGGGTTCATGAGTTCAAGCTTGTCGTAAATATCAGCACATTGTGAAGCCTGACGAGCTTGTTGTGAAATAGAACGCACATAGGACCATCACTTCTTGCACGAGTTTCACAGTATGCTTATATCATGCTTCACAACGTGCTGACATTTACGTCAAACAAACACATGTAGGACACTTGCCCAGAAGCAATGGTTTAAAATTTGCCTATCACTTTGCTTCAGAGGACTTTTTTTTCCCTAAAACTTTTTGTTCCACACAAAAAAGTCATATACATCTGGGATGACATGAGGGTGAGAAAATGTTGAGAGAATTTACATTTTTGGGTTGAGTGTACGTCTGTTACTGTCGTGCCTTCTTGGCATGCAGTAATGACAACTGACAATTTGAGTTAAAATAAAATGAACTGTGTACTATTCTGTTTATTCTTCTAATGAATTCATAACAGACAGTTACAGAGTAAATTTTATTTATATAAATTAAGTGGAACTTCTTATCATTCTTATGATTTAATAAATGAAGTCTTTTATGACAAAGTGTCATATGTCAAAGCCTAGACTTTTTTCATACCATGTAACAAAAGGAAAATTAAAGACTGTTAGTTTTTATTTCACATTATTCACATTTATTTCACCTTTCATCATGTTACTGTAATTTCTACAGGAAATTTTTAACAGTGTACCAGTTACCTCTCTTCTCAATCTCCCCTAACATATCTCAATTATATCCATCCATCACAGCGCAATTCCATCGGCTGATATTCAGCTCTGATATTAACCCATGGCTGTTGTCCACGCATTAATGTGGCCTCAGATTGGAAACCAAATAACAATATTATCCACATCTGACACCCCAGTTCTGCATTTAATCCAAGCTCAGTCTGGCATTTGCTTAATTTATCTTTTTCAGGTCTCAGCAGTGTAATTCTCTGTATTCCAACTACCTATTGGCAGGCCGTCCTTGTAAGTAAGAATAAGTGATGTACCTGGTTAAGAAAAAGTTAAAGAACCATTGTATGCTCATCAAGGCAGCATTTGTTTGATCAAAAATAAAGTAAAACTGTAAAATTGTGAAATATTACAGTTTAAAATAATTATTTTCTATTTTAATGTATTTTCAAATGTAATTTATTCTTGTGAAAGCATCATTCCGCCAGTCTTTAGAAATCATTCTAATATGCTGATTTGCTGCTCAAGAAACATTTTAATTATTATGTTGATATAATCAGCTGTGCTGCTTAATATTTTTTCAGAAACCATGATACTTTTTTTCCAGGATTCTTTGATAAATGTAAAGATCAAAAGAATAGCATTTTTTTTTAAAGAAAGAGAAATCTTTTGTAACATTATGTTGTTCCTGTTACTTTTGATCAAATGAGTGCATCCTGCTGAAAAAAAGTATTAATTTCTTTTTTTTTTTAAAGTGTGTAATTATATCCAAGCATGCATACTTTGTGAATGGGTGTCATGCACTGGAAGTGGACGCAACGCAAAAGTTTATGATGTAATTGACCAGGATCACCAGTACCAGACCAATACCCTGTAATTTACACACTCAACAAAAAAGCCCAACCTGGTACCCAAGTACTGTTCATTCTTCCTCACTCTTTACATGTCTGTTCTGCCCAGCCAGAGCTGTGTAAACGTAGAAGGTAGCTGGAGGCTCCTATATGAACCTGCCCACCACTTGCCCACGCGCACCCATCTTTCAAATATTCAACCACAACTAATCCTGATCTCTAACACCTTTGGCCTGAGACCATGAACAGTTATATGCATATGCATATGTTGTTTTGCATGCTAGTATCCCCACATGGCATCTTAACTAGCAATACTTTATTGGTCAACCAGCTTGTCGAATGCATAATTGTGAGTATTATTGCAACTTCACTTATAACATATAAAAACAAGTGATTTTATTTACTTTAAGTGTTTAATGCATGAATTTTATTAATTTGATTTAAGTGCATTAATTATCGGCAGAATATTAATACGTGTGCATCCGTAGTCCCACCATTACACTCTTCAGACACACTTATCTTAAGAACTGTTTACACAGAGGTCTTCAATTTGACTGTGCAGTAAAAAGAGGAGAGGGTGTGCAAAAACGCTGAGATGTAGGGAACTGCGCTATCTTTAAGCCCTTAATTTGAAACAATGATGGGATATGGAGTGGAGAACCCCACTTCAAAGACTCAATCCGCCCATGTGCCTATTAAAATTTGAAATGAATCTCATAAAAGGAGGGAAAGGCCTCACAAAATTTGGAAGAGATTAGAACAACTCTTCACATGACACAGTCAGAGGGACTGCCAGGGTATGAGAGAAAAAAAGGCACATTTACTTCTCACAGTAAGTGAGAGAGAGAGAGAGAGAGAGCTCTGAATTCAAAGGTGACGAATGACTGTGAAGAATTCAAGCAGAAAATGGATACTCAGATTGGGGCTGAGCCGACCCCTTTGGCCCTCATATCAGGCTTTTCCTGAGCTCTTCTGACAGTTCTTCCACATGCTGCCAGTCTACTTCCACCCTAACACAGGCCAGCGTCAGGCCAGCATCATATCAGGAGACTTATCTGTATGTATGTGTGTGTGTGATGGTTCCTACCATTGATCCTGTTACACCTGAACTTCTCTGTCTCTCTCTACAAGTTGTAGACACAGATGCAGGATTCCCTGCCTGCCTGGGAGCTGTTATGAAGTATTGATTTCCTTTACAGTATGTGGCTGTGGTCAGGGCTATGTGCTGAATGTGGTTGCATTGTACATCACTGTGCTTGAGGGAGAAAGGGAAAAAAAATAACACTAGGGTTTATGGATGAGTCTGACACTGTGACTACAGATGCAATCCTACAATGCACTTTCCTGCTGGTGTGAGGGATTTGTCCTTGCAAACAAAGTACTAAAAAGCAGCAAGGTGGACATGCGCCATGGCAGTACCATGGTATGATTGGATGGCATATAAAAAAATATGTTAATGGTTTAGTACCATCAGGTCATTCCTACTGGGGAAATGATAATACAGATCAGTGGCGGAAATAGGACTTTGTAATCATATTGCTCACTAGTTCTATTGGTCTATTTTATATGCTTTAAAATAAATGTGAATAAATTAAATACATTTGAATTAAAAATGTCTATATACTCTAGAAAACAATGCTGTTTTGTAAAAAAACAAATGTTAATAACATACTTCCTAAAATATAAAAAATTATTCATACAATAACATGTAGATCTGCATTTGTATTTCTTACTGTTAAAATGCATTTTGCATTTTAAGAGAAGATTAAAGAACTATTTATTAGCTGTGTAGACCTACTTTATATGCTACAAAACTTTTGTAATATTGTAGAAAAATGCTATTTTGTAAAAAACAAAACAATTATATAAACCCACTTCTTAAAATATATATAAAAAATGTAGATTTGCATTTTTTTGCATTAAAAAACACAAATGGAATTGCAAAATGCATTTTGTTCATTATCTATATATCTATATGTGCCATAAAAACTCTGGATAGATTTATATGAATTGAAACCGAACTGAAAATGACTAATATTCTAGGAAAAAACTGCTGTTTTGTTACAACCCCACTTGCATGGGATCATCATATGAACATGCATTAAATGAAAAACCCTGCACCATGAGATAAAATTGTTTAAATTCCACAGAAGTAAACCTAATTGCTTTTAGCAAAGTGGCAAAAAGTGTGCAATGAGGGTTTCACATTACTTGATGACATCAAAGCCCAAAGGGCAAAACAGAGGACCTGTAAAAGAGAAGTAGCCTCTCTCTCTTGAGCAGAAGAGCCCTGAAGTGGTGCAGCTGGAGGAGTGTGTGACCGCCATCATCAGATGATCTCTAGGGCTGTGGCCTTTTCTCTTGGCCAGAATCAGCATCCCTTCAGACCCTATGGGATCAGTTAGCCAGTGCAGTGCTATTCATCAGATGACTAAATCCTTCCCATTACAGAGTGAGAGAGAGAAAAAGGATGAACGATATAGGCAGAGACAGGATTAGAATGTAAGAGAGAGAGAGAGAGAGAGAGCACACTAGGGGGAAACGAATGATTAGAGAACTTTGAGGCAGCCATAGACTTTAATTACACTAACTATGCTGGTTTGGAGGGGAAGTGTTTTAATACCTTGTAAGGCATTTGCGAACATCACACAAATGAACGAGGGAATCTCCGCATTCCACCTGGAAACTAACATCTCTT